GATGATAGCACTGATCAATGTATTCCAATTGGTGAACAAAACTGGGCATCTTTTAGGTCAGTGACCCCCAACCTTTGGGGCACGAGGGACTGGTTCCTGGAGGGAGGTTTTTCTGGTTTTGCATGCTGCCTGCATCCCACGGATGGGTCTTCGCTTGTCTGTGTGGCCCAGTTTCTGGCATGCTGTGGACCGGTGCCGGTCCATGGACTGAGGATTGGGGGCCCTGTTCTAGGTGGTCTTTAAAGACAGCCCGATGTAGAACCCTCTTTGGGAGGTCATTTGGACATAATACTATCTTGGTTGGATTTATAGATTAGTTTTGTTTTATATATATTTTACTCTGTGTTTTAATTATATTGTGGATACTTGGTGTATTTTTATCTTGGTGAACTGTGAAGAGTAGTTTGGGACTGCAGTGGTCTATAAATGTGATTAGTAATTTAATATTGGTCCGATAAGTAAACCCAAACGACAGTGGACTTGAGTTTGCATGTGCTAATTCATGATAGTTTATGATGGTCGGTACACACAACCTACTTAGCAACCAACCAACCAACCAACCACATTATCACTAAGTTGCAACATTTGAAGTTACAAAAATTTGCTGGGGGTAAAAAAACATTGTTCACATTAGAACTGGTGGTGCCAACAGTGACCGTTTCACAGAATGAATGGGGAATAGAACTGTTTCATGAAAAGTGCCGTATGTATAATTAACTTCCCACAACTTCCTAGCTTGCCGAGTCCAAATCACTTTAAAATTCAGTACAATTTATTTTAAAATATCACTGATGTGCCAAGCTAAACATACTTTATACAAAAGCCCGAACTGTTTCTGTTGACTGTTTTGAAAAAAACTTAGTCCTGCATTGTCTACTATTGACAGACTGTGGCTGAGGTCAAGCCTTCTTATTTTAATAGGCCTCATATTTTCTTCAGCCACAGATGTATTATAAATTTAAAAACTCCCACCCAGAGGCCAAAGGGGCGGGGGCGGGATAGAAGCAGCCCTTGCACTTCCCTCCAAGTAAAAGAAGATGGATGTAGTGTCAGGCTCAATTAGATCCAATTGTGCTGGCTTTTGCCAATGAGAACAATGCAGCTTTTGTGACCAACTCCCAACAGAAAGCATGGAAGGTTTTAAATATAAGCAGCAGTCTAGGACAGCCTTCCTCAGCCTGGCACCCTCTTATGTTGGACTTCAACTCCCATAATCCCTATCCACCATCAGCACCCCCGACATCTTTTTTAAGTTGAAGCACAACTCCTGCATTTGGGAGATAACTGGATTGGAGAAGATTGGAAAAGTCTCTTAAGGTAACGGCACAATTCCTGGACAAATGTCTCCTCTCCCCACCTCCTTTGTTTTCTTTTAAAAGTGAAAAAAAATGTCTTTTTCTTTTCTCCAGTATTGAGAGATAGGAGGTTCGGCTATTAAGGGGACACTGCCATTGAGTTTTATGCTGAAGAAGCATTGGTTCCCCCACACACACACTTGTGACACAGGCTTACCTGGAGCTAGGGGAGAGATCAGCTTTGGAGAACTGCTTCAATGCATCACAGAACAGCCGAGACAGCCCTGGAAGTGCTTGAAATGCAAATGTACAGGAACTCCAGGCCCTCCCCCTCACCCAGAGGAAAAGCAGCTTAAAGACAGCCAGGCCTGGAGAGGAATGTTAAAAAAAAAAAGAGGAAAAATAGCCACCCCTCCTCTCTTCCATAGGGACCCTCGCACAGCACGATTCAGTCTGCATGACTGAACAAGCAAGCAAGCAAGCAAGGACAGCTCCTTTTTTTAACTTTACTGAACAATGGATTTGCCTCTTTCCACCATTTCAAATTCTCTACAACCCCCCACCCCACCCCTAGTTTATTAATAAAGGAAAGAGAAAAACGCTGCGCGGGGGGGGCGAGTTAGTATTTTGTATTATACGTTAGAGATACTGCTTAACTTTCCTCCCAGTTGTTTAAAAACCTTCAAGTTTAGAAAAAGACTGCTATCAGAGGAAAAGTCAGAGATGAGTACAAAAGGACCTCCCCAATCCAGTTTAGGCTATTTTAACATCCAAAATTGGCATTTATTTTTATTTGAAAGCCTGAATTACAAATATTTCAACCATTCCCCAGTTTCTCCAAATTCACTCAACTTATTGTGCAACAAACTAAAAGGAAAAACTACATGTTGTTCTTATAGCAACTGAGACAGTGCGTTTCATTGTTATGCCAGGAGGCATTTGCCCAACAGTGCACTAAAAACTATTAGTCGGCAGGCGCAGGCACAAACTGTTATGTACAGGTAGGATAGTGTAGAAGTTATAAAGATCCTTTCAAACGGAACCATTTGCTGTACAGTGAACTTCTAATTTGGAAGTTACTTAACCTTTTATGCTCAAAGGACCAAAAGCGTTCCAGTGGCTTTGATTCACTAAACCAAATTGCTCATAAACCAAGAAGGGAGGGGACAACAACTCTCCTCACAACTTAGGATATTCCCTGTCTTTTAAAGGACAAAGACACACATGCAACGTTTTTTTTAAAAAACATACTTCATATTTCCTTTTTTTATTATATAAATATCAGTTTAGCCTTTTACTGTAAGAATATAAAATGTTTTAAGAGGATCTTTAATTTTATACAAATTCATAAACAGTACATTTACTCCATGATTGGGGGGGGGGGGGCTGTAGCGTCTGGGCTTGTCCAAATTTCACATTTCCTTGAACTGTGGAGAATTGGAAAAATCTACACTGGCCCTTCCTCCCCCATCGATTTTGCTTTCTTCAAAGTTGTCTTGATCCTCCTTCAAAGACAAGCATCAAGAAGTGGCTTTCATTTTAAAGGCAGAACAGAAGTTGGCTTGAAGTTGACTTTTTCCCATTCGTGTTGCAACTGCAAGTCAGTCTGTTCTGTTTGCTCCTCTCTCTCTGGGCACTTCCTTACTGGAAGCTCCATACTTCGGATCTAAGTAATTTGAGAAGGGAAGGCAGGAGTTTGCATATATTTAAAGAAACAAGAGTTCCTACTTTCACATTTCTTTAATCATTGCCCAATCACTAATTTGGACATCCCCGTGTTTCCATGTCTTTGTGCTAGAAGAGTGAGAAAACAAAAGCACTGGTGGGTTTCCAAAACTTTAGTCAAAAAAGGAAGAGGCATCAAGTTTATAGGTGACAAGCAGGGGCAAAAATTCCTAGTCACTTTTCCTTCTCCTCTTCCTATCCCCCCCCCTCCAAATCCTAAAGCCCAGGGGAAATCTTACCAGTCTAGGCACAACATAATTTCAGTTTCAACTTTCTCATAAACATTCCAAGGCTGAGGGAAGGAGAAAAAAAACAACCACCCAAACCCGAGGTAGCCAAATGTTTATATAGTGATAGTATACTTGAGTTAAAATTCACAAGGGTAGCCACTTCAGCTGTCTTTCAAACTTATTCCATGTATGAAGAGGATAAGAGAACAAATAAAACAGCTAAGGTATAAAAGGGTGGGTGGGAGGGTTGTAGAAGGCATATTGTTGCCTTTCTGGTGATGATTAATTCCATCACTCTGCCTCCAATCCTCCAAAAAATGAAATTGTGGCTATGTTTTTTTTTTTTTTAAAAAAAATCTGTTTCCCCAAAAGATGAAATAAGTAGGAGGGGAAAGCCACAGAAACATAAAAAGTAAAAAAAGATGATTCAACTTTGTAATGATTTCAGCAGCAAAGGAAATATGGTGATGATGTGGGTTGGATACAGCATAAAATGAGTTTCTGGGGAAAATGTGATGGCCCTCTAAGCAACAATGAGCAAAATGAACACATAGCTGACACTCCAAATAATGGCATTTCAAAAAAGCCTCTCTTCTCAGTAAAAGGCTCGATATTTCTAATCTCAAACTGGGAAAAAGCAGAAGGGGGAGGGGGAACCAAGGGTTCTAGGGTTTAGGAGAGCTAGAACAATAGGGCCAGGAAAGACTTGCCCTTTTTAGACAGATTTTCTGCCAGTCAGTTGAGATATAAAGGCCAATGGCCTGACTTGGTATAAGGCAATGCCCAAATCAATTTGATATCTACAGGTTGCCTACATTATTAAGAAAAGGATGGCAGACTACAAAAAGCATGGTGAGGGTTGATGGACAAGCATAGTCGAAAGGGACTAGAAAAGGATGAGACTATTTGCCCAATAAAAGGCAGGTTCTCATGAAATTAGAAAGGGAATAGGGTAGGATTCTTTTATCCCTAGTGCAGAAATAAGTGAAATCAGTGGGGGTAAAGGGGCTGCGTCCATCCCCAGTGCATAAATGATTTGAGAAGCTGCATTTCCAATAAAAAAATGATACTGTATCCACCCACATGGAAGGCTGCTGTAGAGTGCAGTTGTCTCCCTCTAATTCAGAGGAAGGAATTATGAAACAAAGTACAGGTAGTCCTCAACTTATGACCAGTTGCTTAGAGACTGTTCAAAGTTCCAACAGACTAAGGTGTACTTAAGACCCAGGTTAAAAATTCTGGCTACCACCCTCCTGCAGTCATGTGATGGTACTCTGAGTCGTGTGGTAGTAGCCAGCTCAGCAACTGGCCACAATTATGGCGATTTGCAAGCGCCCGCAGTCACGTGACCATTTTGTACCAGTTTTGCTGAAAACCAGCATTTGCTTCCAGTTTTCGGCAAAACTGAACCCATAGAAGACCACTGACTTGCTTAATGACATCAGATTCGCGTAACGACTGCTGCAAAAAAGTTGTCAAATCAAGGGATCTTTATAACCATCATGAGTTATGACCATGATAGGCAGGCTCCATTATGGTCATAACTTGAGAACTACCTGTATGGTCCCCCTTTCTCTCACCTCCATTGTGTGGGCACAGAGGCAGGCAAGTAGCCAAGATGCTTTCCCTTCCCTTCCCTCCCCCAACCCCCCCCTTGGAGGACTATCGCCCCCCCTCCACTTTCCTCTACTGCAGCAGTCAGTTGGTGAAGCCTTCCGGCGGGATGGGGCTCTCCGGGTGTCCCCTCCTCTCACCTTACTTTTTCACTCTCAGTCATTTGCCAGAGTCCCAGATTGAGCACCTTGAGGCAGGGCAATTGAGTGATGCGCTCCAGGCCTCTTTTAGTGATGCGGGTACAGCCATAAAGGTCAATGCCTGTGAGCTGACTAAGGTGCTCAGCGATAAGCTCCAGGCCTTTGTCAGTGATGCGGACACACTGGCCAATGTTGAGAGTGCGCAGTCCATGCATCTGGCGCACCATGCGGTTGATGCCCTCGTCGCTGATGTGGCAAGAGCAAAGGGAGAGAGAGCGCAACCCATCGAGGCCCTGTGCAATGTAGGCCAGGCTTTGGTCTCCGACTTTGTCACAAAAGGAGACATCCAAGCCTGAAAGGCGCAAGCTGCCCATGGCCAGGTGCATGATACCTGTGTCACTAATATTGTCGCAGGAGCGTAGGTTCAACATGCGCAAGCTGCTCATGTGTGACAGGTGCAGCAGCCCTGCATCCGAGATCCCCCCACAAAAGCTGAGGTTGAGTTGGCGCAGGCGAGTGAGACCCCGGGCCAGATGCTTGAGGGAGAGGTCGCTGAGCTTCTGGCAGTCCTGCAGCGTCAGCTGTTCCAGCCCCAGGCAGCCCTCTGCTGCGCTCCGGGTCATGCCCGCTAAGTGCCCGATGCCCACATCGGACAGGTGGCGGCAGGATCGCAGATTGAGGCTCTTGAGGCGTTGGAGGCCCCAGGCGATGAGCAAGAGGCCCGTGTTGGTGATGTTGCTGCAGCCCCCCAGCTCCAGCACCTCCAGGCCCTTGAGGTACTGGGCGATGCGGCCCAAGCTGCTGTCGGTGATCTGCTTGCAGAGGCTGAGGTTCAGCGCGCGCAAGGAGCCGATCTCCGCCACGAAGGCGTGGCCCAGCCCGTTGTCGGTGAGGTTGTAGCAGCCGCTCAGGTTGAGGCTCTCGATCTCCGCCATGCCCTGGATCACGTAGCTCAGGCTGCGCCGCAGCGACAAGATCTGCACCCGGCGGATGCCCCGCGCCGCCAGGCTGGGGAAGAGGGACGGGTTGGCGCGGCGCAGGTGCAGCTTGGCCTCCACGCCTCGCCAGACCGAGCGGTGGTACGCGGCGTCCCGCCAGGCCGTGCACACCTGCGCCACCCGGCCCTTGTCGCGCACCTCCAGGTAGCCGAAGATCATGGCCAGCAGCTCCGGGAACAGGCACGAGACGTGCGTCTCCATCGCCCGGGCCCGGATCGCCTCCGCCGTGCGGCGCCTCGGGCCCGGCGTCCTTGCGCCGCTCGACCCGGGCTCCGAGCCTCGGCGCGCCGGCCCCGCTGCTCGCCCTCCGGCCCTCTCCCGGCCCGGCCTTCACATCGCCGCCGCCAGGGCGGGCTCGGCCAAAGAGAAGTCCGTCGGGCCTCGGCCGCGCCGCCGCCCTCGCTCCGCCTCCGCCTCCTCTAGCCGCGCCACGCCAGGCAGGCCGCGCAGCCGCCTCGATCCCGGCCTCGGGCGGCCCCACGCCGCATCGTGCTCAGCCCCGCGGGCGAGTCCGTCCTCGGAGCTCTCCTGCCGCCTCTTCCCTCCTTTGTCTCCCAGCCGGGGCGGGCGAGAGGAGGGCGGCCTGCCGCCGAGTTGCGACTCTTGCCGCCGCCGATCTCGGGACCCGCCTCTGCCCCTCTTCCTCCGGTCGGCAGGTTCCGACTCGCTCGTTGCCTGCCGGGCCCCGGCGCCGCGTTCGAGCCGGGCGGGCGGGGGGAGGAAAAGGAGGAGGCTGGGCTGGGCCTGGTTGGGCTGCACCACACCTCCCTGCGCCGCCTGCGCAATGGTACGATCCGGAACACTCCGAGCCGTCGCCTTGACAACAGCGCCCCCTTCGCCCCCTCTTCTCCCTTTCGGCTGCCCGGAAGGATTAACTCTTGCGACGCCGCGCAAAGCCTGGAGGGGACGGATTCCTGCGCGGGACGCATGGCAGGAAGGATAGATTTCCTCTGTCCCCGCGGTTGGCCAGGGGGTTATCCCGCCCGATCTCGAGACGTGTTTTAACTGTCCCCAACGCGCTGTGACGTGTCAGGTTAGGATGAGAAGCATCGGCGTTGCTAAGGAGATTTTTCAAGGAAGGAAGGTGCCAAAGGCACACCGGGAAGGGGGGGGATCTGAGCCCCCATTCCTCCCCCGCCCGGCAAAAATCCTCGGTGGATTTGCCTGGAGGAGAGAAATTATTTTTAATCGGGCTAAAAAGCGTCTGTCGACAATTGATGGTGCTGGAAGGATGCTTCTTGATTACTTTAAAGGCCTTTGGCCAGTTGTGTTTGAGGTGAGGGCTTTTGCAATGGAATAAACCAATAAACTTGGCAGCTTTAAAATTGTGGACTTCAATTCCCAGGGCAGGGGTAGGCAACCTCGGCTCTTTTATGACTCATGGACTTCAACTCCCAGAATTCCCGAGTCAGCATAGCTCACTCAGGAATTCTGGGAGTTGAAGTCCATGAGTCATAAAAGAGCCGAGGTTGCCTACCCCTGTCCCAGGGGAATTGTGGGAGGCGAAGTGCACACATCTTAAAGTTGCCAAGTTTGAAAAACAGAGTAAAAGATTGGTTAGTGTTGAGTAGAAATAGACAAAACTTTGCAAAAGCAGCTGAAGAGAAACAGTATTGAGCATGGGTTGACTTTTCATGAAATGAACCAAAAAGTGGGGTTTTGAAAATGGAGGTGGTACTGAGGGTGGTTAGAAATAAAATGCAAAAGCAGGATGGATGCAAGCAAATATGGCTGTTGGGTACAAGGTTGTTTTTGAAAATTAATTGGCTTTGGGACATGTACGTGTGCAGCCAGTGGCTGCACCAATTGGCCACAGAGGAAGATGGAGTCCAACACATTTCCAGGCTATTCTGTTGGGAAGGACAGTCCTGATTTTTGATTTTCTACACTCTTAATACAGTGTTTCTGGGAATTGGTTGGGGAATTCTGGGAGATGAAGTCCAAATATTTTAAAGTTGCCAAAGTTGAGAAACATCACTCTAGTCTAAAACCAAACTCCTATACATTTCAGTCAGTTTGAGAAGGCTTCGGAGCAAATGAGTGGGCCAAATTGAAATTAGTAATCAAATCCATTATTTTGGGACATGGTGGTGAATGAAGATGTTATTGTCCTGTGCCCTATGCATGAACATTTGACTGATTGCTCTCCACTTTTCATTTTACACCCCTTTCCAAGTTATAGCAGTTGATAGCTGAAATTGAATAAAGGCCTTTGCTAAAATAATTTCAGATATATGCTTCCGTTAGGTGATACTGAAAGCAAAGTGTTTATAAGGTTAGATCTCCCCTATCATTTCAAGAAAAAAAGGGATGGCACAGGAATTTGCATTGTTTTCTCCTGCTACTCCATGATAAAGTATTAGAAAATATATTAGAAACCTATAACCTTGGTGGCGTAGTGGTTAGAATGCAGCATCACAGACTAACTCTGCCCACAGTATGAAGTTCTATCCTGAAAGCTCCAGGTTGATTCAGCCTTCCATCCCTCTGAAGTTCGTAAAATCAGGAACCAGATTATTGGGGGCAATATGTTGACATTGTAAATCACTCAGAGAGTATTGTAAAGCACTATCAAGTGGTATATAAGTCTAAATGCTATTACTATTGCTATAAGAAAATATCATATCTTTTCATTTTCTTAAAGGAAAATATTTTCAAAGGAAAACAAATCTGTTTAAGAGTCCAACCAGACAGCTCGCTACTTCCATCTCCAAAATATCCTTGTTCTGATACACAAACTGTTCACATCATGTTTCCCATTCTTTATTAAATGCCATTGCTGACATTACACAAGCCAAACAATACTATCTAAATACATATAGATTATAATGCCAGTATGTTTTGCAGCTATGGGGTACTATGCATAGAAACATCATTAAGCTATGAAGTTGTGTTTCTTTTAACACAATACTTTTCCTAAACCATAGTTTACTGAATAAGCACTAGGCTATAAGTGATGATGATAATGATGTTATCCATTCAGTTGTGTCTGACTCTTGGCAATTCTGTGGGCCAGGTCTCTCCATATCTTCCTATGTGGAAGCAATGATTCATAAACAAGGCTTTTGTTCATGCAACAGACTTAAACCAAAACAATCCATATTATGATTCAGCATGGTGTATGAATCCAAATACCAAGGGCAACTTCAGAAGTATTAGTACTTTTGAAGAGTTTTATTGGTTGATTAGTTTCAACACAACTGCACACCAGAACTTAATGCTTTTTTTACCTAGTGACTTGTCTACAAAAAAATGCCTATATCTACTATTTCCATTTTTTCTTTTTCTTTTCAGATATTATATTTTAGCTTTTATTAAACATGCTTTGGCTATTTTTCCTTTTTGTCAACACTCTTTCTCTGTATGGGTGTAGGTGTATAAATTTTAGTATACTGTAGACATTTTAATATTAAATAATTTGCTTAAGATTGAAATTATTATCATGTAACTAATGAGAAGCAGTGTTTTTTTCCCCTTTCTCCAAAGTAATGCTTAATTTTGGATAAGCTAAATAATTTACACTTGACATATTGACATTCTAAATTGTAATTAATATTCACAGAATTTTTACATTTCTCCATTTTTAATACCTTAATCTTTTTTAAAAATACGTTAACTTTTATTATTAATTTTATATTATATATTGCACTGAAACAATATGTGTCAAGACTTATAACAATATACGTAATAAAAGGGAAAACAATGCATTTGCTTAATCCTTGAATTTCATAGTAGTTTTGTGTGTGTGTGTGTGTGTGTGTGTGTATGTATGTATATGTGTTTATATGTATACTTTTCACTTTTTCTATACCTATTATTGATATCTTATGACTATCAGTTTGTTATTTTACCACTTGGGTTTAAAGTAGCGCTATCAATGTTAACGAGGGTGGACAAGATGATTTACAGAATGAGGGTTTAAAATAAATGCCTTAGAGGGATCTGATCCATTTGCTTGCACCCTAACACTACGGTTTAGTACAAAAAAGGTATTGATGAGCTATATTTACACTAGGATTGACATTGCATTAACATTACTCATAATTGGCAAACGATCAAGGAAATTAAGTAAGTGAGGCTGAACTAGGACCAACCAAAAATATTGCTTCTCTATAAATGATGTGTATGCATTTCCTGCTATACTCTTAAGATTTTTCATGTCCAACTGATAAGCTTGCTTGCTAAAATTGGACTGATGTTAGGAGTCTTTAAAGTGTCTTAAAATAGCCTTATTTAAATGCTCTCTTAGTATCTTTTTAACATGAAAAGAGCTTATACTGTAAGTATATTTCTTCATTGATGCCCAAGAATCCTTAACTCAGTGAAAGCTTAGTTTGAGCAAGGTCTTTCAAGAGACAACCATCTGCCAAGTGATTACTTGGTGCAAATGTAAGCACTTGACAAGCTACTTAACAGCATTTTTCTGAAGCCAGAGAACAGGATTTTACCACATTTCCTGTGGCTAGGGTTGATCCATGAGTTGTAGATGTAATTTTTGTAATACTGTACGAAGGAACTTTTATGAAAGTTGACTGCTGTGTGAATGGCTGTTTTATACAACCTGCATAGCCATAATGTGGGTTATTTGGTTTAAACTTTTAATGCAGGCATTTTGGTTTGTGAAGCCTGGTTTATTGTTTATTAGCATATTAGATGAACCCAGTGAATTTCACTTCCTCAAGTCAGCAACATTGGCTCCAAGTAAAGGAATTTTGTTTTTTAGAAGCCAAGGACACCAAACACAAACTGCCTGACCAGCAGTTGCATGTTCTTTGTGGGTTAGTATATTTTTTTCCTATCAATATTTATTTTTTTGATGAAAACTTGCAATATTAAAAAATGTGACAGTTTTGAGCAAAATGTGGGCACTTGTATTGTGTAAACTGGTTTATGTCCTAATGATTAGATTGAAGATTTCACAAATTGTGGTTCCTGAATAAAGCAATCCAGGAACTAACACAATGTATTAATTTACCTGTCCACCCTTTGCTGTTTGAGTGTTTTTGTGCTCAAAATCTCTTTGGGGCTGGGGAACCTTTATCAGAAAGCAGTCTTGTATAAAAACACTTAGAAATCACCCCTTTTTGCTCCTTCATTAAGATTTGGCATCCATAAAGACTGCTATTAATTGACAATAAAATACACAAATAAGATGAGGAAAAGACATGCATTGATATATACAGTAACAACTTATAAATCAA